CTTCAACAGTACAATAACACAACAATAAAATCATAATAATATCACAATAACCCCACAATAACACCAACATTCCTTATTAACAAAAATAACACTAGAATACTGCCAAGATAATACCGCGGTTACACTATAAACCATTACACCGACCTAAATGCAAGTATAACATAAACAGTTACAACGACAACAACTTTGAATAAAATGAAAACCATTAAAGTAAACTCCGATAAACCCACATAAACAAATTGCTAAACACAAGTAGTAATATGTCAGATCTATACCTTAGACAATAAACTAAAGTAATACTATTAAATCAACTTATTAAACCTCCGATAAACCCAGACAAATGCCAGAAGTATCCATAAAATCATCAAAAAATAAAACTTATTAAACCTCTGATATACCTCAGATCTGGATGCCCTTCTCGTTGACTTCGTCGAAAATATTCTCAACGAGGCTAAACTCGCACAGATCTGGAAGTGGTTGTCGTTCTCTTCGTCGGCAGAGCAATCCTTTTCGGCAGCTCCAAACCCTAAAGTGCAAAACTAAAGTGGGGGGAAATCGAAAAATGACCTTATGTATTAAATTTTCGGGAAAAAGGAGTATCGGGTCGTGTCGGACGTAAAAAATTAGAGTTTTTAACATTAATAATATCAGTGGGGCTGGATTCCACGTGGCCATTTTTGATTTAGTACCGCATATAGGAGTTCATGTGGTACACGTACCGAATAAAAATTCAATTTCCAACATCTTGAAAGGATCAATAAGTAACGGCTCCAGATAAGTATTTAATAATTATAAAAATGTGACATGATTGCAAATACCCATAAAAAATTTAAAGAATTTTAAAAGGCCAATAAAATATTCTATATTGATTTTTTTTTTTATTTTAGAGAGAGCAATTCAATGCAGGGAGTCTTTATGATCATCCAACACAGCTAAACTCCAGCAATTCTTATTTTACAAAAAAAAAATATCTTACATAAACAATTATTTATAAAATTTTTTTTGTCAGTATTAAAATCTTAAAAAAAAAGATATTATGTGATTGTTCCATCTCAGAAATAAAATGATCGAACGAAAAGACGCTCAAATTTTAAAAAAATACATGATAATGTTGTTTTTTTTTTATTAAACAATTTTTTTATATTATTCTGTAGCTATCATACAAATAATTAATAGTTCTAATCAAACGTCTGTGTTACTTTATTTCATCTTTTTTTTTAAGTCTGTTTTTGAGTCAGTATTAAAATCCTGATTCAATCCTGTTTTGAAAGTCTGTAGCCACCACTTGTTCACCATCAAATAAAAAAAAAAAGAGAAAAAAAAAAAGGTAATTAATGATCTATTTTTCTGCCCCTATCAAACTCTGTTGAAGGAAATAAACAAAGAGGCGGAACACAGTCCTGCAGTTAGTCATTCCGTCACTCGTGCTCTGTTTCTGCAACCAAAACCATTCGTCTTCACCGAATCAAAGCCCATGCAACGAAATCGTATGTCCCTTTTTCATTTTTCTTCTGTTTGTTATTTCTTTCTTCCATTCACAAAACCAGTTAGTCATTTTTTTTTTTTTTTGTTATTTCTTTCTTCCATTCACAAAATCAGTTAGTCATTTTTTTCGTGGGGAAATTAAGTATCATTATGGAAAAAGGTGAATCATTTGGAAAAATATTTTAAAATGGGGATTTTAGAACACTCATTGGTGAGAGAAACGAGTGCCCGTCCGCGGGAAATGAGCATCGTTCGGGGAAAGTAAAGTAACGTTTGGTAAATATTGACTTGTAATCTAACTTTTTGTGCATGTATAATGAAGACCCGTTGCCCGTTTCAAGTTTTAAGATTTTTAGTTAACTTTTTTTTTTTTTTTTGCTTCCCAACAATTGCTTGTCTCATGACACTGATTAGCTGGTCTCTTAAGACAGTTGGGAAGACTGACATTTTTCCGTGCCCCCAAACGTGGGTTGACGTTGGGAGACTGTTTGATTTGGACTTATAATCACTTTAAATAATATGAAATTTTGAGCTTTAAAAAAAAACCTAAAACATCACTCATTTAAATTTTAAATGACCTACAAACTTGAGCTTTTAAAATTTTAGGCTCATAGGGTTTTAAAAATCAAAATACCAAGGACCTGAGCTTTTGAATATCTAAACTCTTAGGATTTTAAAAATTTTAAAATTCTGGACTATTAAAATATAAACTTTCAAGGCTTAAAATATTAAGATTTTTATTTTAAAACTTAAGCTCGTATATCTGAAAATATTTCAAGAATTAAGCTTTTCAGACTTAAGCTCTTGTGGCTTGAAAATCAATTCAGAACTAATTTTTTTTTTTTTTAATTTAGGCTCTTAGGAGGCAAAAAAATAATTCAAATATGGAATTTTCTTAAAATTTAAAATTAATCGACATCGGAGTCACAATACACTTATTAGTAAGTGGAAAGCAGACCTTTTTTAAAACCTGAAATCATATACTTGTGCAAATACTGTAAGCGCCAAATGATTTCAAAATTTATAAAAGTCTCGTAGTTATCTCCTAAGCTAAATGCAATACCTTGAAATGTCAGTCCACCTATAAGACTTAAGATGAGTATCACTTGAGACACTTTTAAACTATGTATACATTAAGGTATCTATATAAATTAATCAATTACACATATTTTCAAAAGCCTGTATGTGCTCTAACTAATATATTGAATAATAAAAAATTAGTCTCGAGAATATTGTGCGGGCTAATCAGACCACCTTATCTATATAGGGAAGGGTTGTGAGTCCCACCACAAGTCTGATCATTCTCTTGGCACGGACTGGAGTTGATAAGTCTAGCAATTTCGAAATAAACATCCAAATCTTATAGATAATAATTCACAAGTCCAAATCACAAAGTCTAATCCTCTTTCTCTTAAGGACAAAAGTCAATAAGACTCATATCCTAAAAGTCTAAACTGAAAAAAATTAACTGAACTCTTCAAATATAAAAACTTTAAATGTTCGATTTCTTGATGATGGTTTTGTTGATATAAGATTTCGACTAGAGGGGTCAATCTCATAAATTAAGATTTACAAAATAATCAACTAAAACTCAAGTTAAAATTAATCACTTATAAGACTTAAAACAAGAATTCATCCGTCCTCCACAATAGTTTGTTAAGGGTGACAAACTTTTGATTGATTTCAGCTCATAAAGTGTGAATTTCATATTAAATATATCAATATATATATATATATATATACAAATAAAGTAATTACTTGTTAATAAGGATGTGTCCTGAGTCACATCCCTCTATCCGTGAGGATCTACTGCTAAATGACGCAACAAAATAGCAGTTACGATAAGAGCCGTATGACCTAGTGGTTGTTGTCAAATCACACCATTATGTTACGGACACGATTGTAGCTTGTATATTTCCCAACGACTTTCTACCTTTTGAATTATGAATCATAAGGGTACAATTGATTAACATAAAACATTTTATTAGCTAAGGTTGACTTAAATTTATCCAATTTGATAAATATCCAACCCAAATCTATAAGAAAACCTTGGACGACGCAACTCATAGCTGCTAACAAGGATTCTTCTGTCAAGTTAAGTCAAATACCTCCGCTAACTAAGTAGATCAGAGACCACGACAACCCGGGATAACAGAACCATGGGATGTTGATCTGGTTTCATCATCATTCCCCACTTATCTGCTTTAAGCTTCAAGTGATGAATTCTTCAACGTAAATGCTAAGCTCGTTATTACTAGATGTACAATTTTTTTATTCTTAATGACTAACATAAATTGAAAGTGCTCTCTCGTTACTAGGAGGGGTAATTAACTTGAAGGGTTTGTGCCTATGGAAAACCTCATTGCAACCCATAACTGCTGAAAAGAATTCTTCTGCTATATTGGATCGACTACCTCCTCTGACAAAGTAAATCAATGAATACAACGACCCGAGATGACGGAACAATGGGATCTTGATTGGGTTTCGTCTTCAATCCCCCTCCCCCCAACCCACCATCAAATCTAAGCTTCAAATGATGAATTCTAGAACTTAAATCCCAAGTTCACTACTACTATATGTTCAATTTTTAATTCTTAATGACTAGCTTTAATCGAAAATGCTCTCTTATTATAGGGAGGGGTAATTAACCATAGTGGCTTGCGTCTATGAGAAATCTCGAACCCCGCATCAAAAAGTCCTCACAAAATGAGAGTGAAATCTCTAGGTAATGTCTTATTTACAATTCAATTTATCTTTTGAAACATTTTGTTCCTATTTGACCCTTTTAAACTCTCTCAACAAAAAAAAATGAATAAATAAAAATGCAAAGAGTTGTTCTGGAAGCAGTTGTTAATTTTAGGAGCCCACATCACTTTAAATGACCTCTGTCTCATAACAAGTCAACCCAGTTTAAATAATGTTGTTAGATGAATTCCAAGAATAACCCAAATTTTATTTATATGAAACAATTTATATTGTCATTTATAAATGATTAAATATGTTGTTCAAAATTTCTATTGCTAGAGTTGTTCTGGAAGCAGTTGTTAATTTTAGGAGCCCGCATCACTTTAAATGACCTCTGTCTCATAATAAGTCAACCCAGTTTGAATAATGTTGTTAGATGAATTCCAGGAATAACCCAAATTTTATTTATATGAAACAATCTATATTGTCATTTATAAATAATTAAATATGTTGTTCAAAATTTTTATTGCTAGACATATAAATGCACAAGCTTAAGCACTAAATACTGATTCGTTTTTTCATTTAAAATACTGATTTTTCCTTAAAAAAAATAACATAAATTAAAAAAAATTTATGAAAACATTAAACACGTCATAAGATATCGAGAATAAACTTTTTCATTCCTACAATCATTTAAAGTTGTCCAAACTACACGAGTAGTCTACCTTTTGTGTTGTATATAAACTTCTAAAGTCTGTAAAACGATTCTAGGCTACTTGTTCAAATCATTACTACCAAACATATAATTGGGTAAGTTCAATTATCCCTCATATGAAACGTGGTTCATGTAATATTTAGCTTTAGCATATGGAAAAATAACAGTATGCTTCAATGAGCCTTCAAATTCCTACAAGCTGTTATCTACAGAACTGAACTTGCCATGAGTTTGATTTACACACATATGTTAATTTATAAAGTCCACTCATAATAATTTGATGAAGCCTTGCCATTGTTAATTCAATAGAAGAAAATAAAAGTGCAACTCAGCAACGCCTTCTCTCAATGGCTGAAGGGACCAAAAACAACCACTGAATTATGGCCCCCAATGCCAAATGAATTCGAAATAGCTGTACAATAAAAGACACCCCAGAAGCTGGCTCAGTCAAGATAAACTTAAAAGAACCAAAATTCTCATATCAATAACTTAATAAATAAAAAAATTAAAAAAAAAAACATTTTTGTTAATTTAAAACATACCAACGTGTACTTCATGACGCTTCTTCACTTTAGCAACAGTGTCAATTGTCACCTCAGGCTCCAAATTCTGCATTACATGAAAAACATCTCGTGAATTTAAAATTAAATTGGAGTAGAAAACTTGAGAGCGAAGAAAGATGATACATCTTGGTTAAGAGTAGGATGCAGCCAGCCCGTGCTAATGGCTTTGATGGTAGCGATAGCTTCTAAGCCCCCAGAAGCTCCAAGGCAATGCCCAATCATAGACTAATCAGACATTAAAGTATATGCTTTGAATAATCCTCAAAAAAATATACTGTGTTGGCTGAGAGAAATTATTTTATCAGAACAACTGATGCAAATCAAGTGTCCAATAACAGGGTTGTCATGTGGCACTGTTATTGGACACCTGACGCAAATTTACGTAGGTGTCCCGATACAAAATTTGCTTACCTTTGTCGCGTTCATTTTAATCTCGGATATGCTCCTGAAAACTTTCTTAATGGCACGAACCTCGGCTAAATCTCCGGCGACGGTGGATGCTGCATGAGCATTGATATAATTTACCTGTTCATTTTTTTAAGACAATATATGGCCAGTCTGATCAGTATCATTTTAAGCTAATTATTGGGTCTAATTTTATATGTATTATGAACATTTTGCTGCACCTCTTCAGCGGAAACTCCGGCATCCTCTAAGCTTTTTTCGATGCAGGAAGCAAATCCAAGCCCGTCGGATCGAGGTTCAGTCATGCGATGTGCATCACAGTTTATAGATCCTCCAAGGTACTCAGCAATTATAACTGCGTCCCTTTTCATTGCATGTTCCAAGCTTTCCATGACCTTAGGGATTCAGATAACATGTTAAAATATTTTGTCTTTATGATGCAACTGTTGGAAATTAAATTTGATTTAAATTGGGCTTTAATTAAGCCCATAATTTAGAAGAAATTTTGGAAAATTTTAGAGACTCATTTAATGAAGAAAGTTTTAAGAGGATTCTAGATATATTAAGGGAATAATTTAAAAATTCTACAATATGCAATAAATGACTTTTGTAACGGAAAAATCTTCTAGTGAATCAATAGTAGTTATAGGATTGCAATGTGTTTGTGCAATCCTGATTGAGGTGTCAATAGTATAATAAGTATGCTAGTATTTGAGTTTAGTATCAAAAAGAATTAAGAAAAGAACGAAAAAAATAAAATTGAGTTTTTCAAGCATTTCTTCTTCTCTTTTTAGCATTCCTCCTCTTAATTACAGCAGTGTTTAATCATAAGATGTCTTTTGTGAACACGACTCGAGACTTAGAGTCGGGTGGAGGAGGAATAGAGAGAGAGAGAAAGTAATTAGGCTAACTACTGTAGGGGAACAAGAGAAAAGTTCCTTTATTTATCTTTTTGGCTCTAATTTATAGAGGCGTATTAGTATAATTTCAGAAAGTATGGAACAGTTATGGAAACCGTCCTTAATGTGATTAAGTATGCTAATTATATATCAAATATGTATTACGATTTGAATTTGAATTTGCATATCGAGGTAACTGACTGGTTTACGCATATTAATTCGGTCGAGCGGGGTGACCAATCGGATAGCACTTACGGCTGTCGAAGCAATGAATCGGTCGGCCGAATAGCTACGGTCGGGCACCCTTGTAAGGAGCCTCTAGGCAACCAGGACTGCAAGCGTGCTTTGCCAATTAGGTCAATTGTCATAATATGTTGATTGACTTCGACTGAGTGGTCGGTTGTTGAATGAATGTTTTAGATCATGCTCCTTTGATTTGACGCCTCAATCATCCGGCCATTCTTTTGGGTAGTTGGATTTCTTTGAAATTCATGTCGGCAGATAATATGTATACATATTACTTCCTTAAGTTTTATTGCTTCCTGAAAGTGGCGTCTATGATAAGGCTAGAGAAACTATTTAATAATCAATGATGCTAAAATCAAGGAAATCAATGTGATAATTAACTTCTCTTTGGATTTTGTGCTCAATGTTCTCTATAAATAGAGTCGTAGGTTTGGCAGGCTATCTATTGTCGTCATTTTTTTTAGCTAATCTAGATGCATCATGGCTGATGGTTCAAGCTGAATCACTGAAGATGCTCACCAAGGCAAGCTACGGGTCTACGGTCCTTACAAAGAAGAACAAGGACAAGAAAGGGAAACAATCAAGGCACAAACCTTCGTCGGCTAATCAAGTCCACTCATCTGAGGGTCTTGAGGTGCAAATGTCGAAAGTTCCTCATTTGGTGGCTGCAGTCCCAGAGTCTTGCATGGTTGAAAGAGCTGAGAACCATCAAGTTTTGCTTGCTGAAGGGCCCAAGGAAAGTGGAATGGAGTTGAGGGGAGTGGTGATCACCACCTCTTCTTAGTCGTCACTGCAAAAAGGCGAAGGTACCTCGCCTCAAGAGAGAGAAAAAAATTTTTGATGACAAATTCCTCAATAGATAGATTTATGTGTACGTAAAGCTCTTGTTGGTAGTTGACAGTTTTTAAGGTTTCTTGACATTATTCTCTTGCAGATGAGTTTGAACGAGTCAGAGGATCGACAAGGCGGTGGGCAACCAAAAGATGTTGTGCAGTATGTTCCTATCATGGTGGCCAGTCTACAAACTGAGTTCAAGGGAATCCTACCGTCAATCACCTCAGAAAAATAGTAGTCCCGACCCTTTGCCTGCTACCGACCTTGAATAGAAGCAACTAGAGTTGCGACCGTCTCGCTCTGGAGTTATGGATCGATAGACAGGGGGCCTGTGCCCTTGGCTCTGACGGTTGGTTCTTTGGAGGGAGCGGCAAGAGGTCCATCCATGGATTTTGTGTTGGAGTTATCAACCCATCTGACCACCATGGGTTCGAATATATCAACCATGCAGGCAAAGGTTGACACCTTGCAAAGTTGTTGCACGAGCTGAGGGAGTTTCACGAGTGAAATTCCCTAGGCAAGTTCAACCAAAATGAGGGCTGGATGGATCAAATTAGATTAGTTCCATCGATGATCCTCCAAAGGTTAACTCAGAAGAGGTATGTTCTATCTGAGGCCTTGGAAGACCTATTCATAAAACACTTTGTTGTAAACTTGTAATAATGTTATTTGAAAATAAAACGAAATTTGAAAAAAATTAAAATGATGTTTATTGTGACACTTATCATTATGAGACGTCTCATTTTACGCATTCGTCTTATAACTAGGCCAGGGAACCACTTCTTTTTACATTATGTGTCCTAGTTTCTTTCTCTGCACTTTTGATCTTCCTTCTCCTTTCTTCTCTTGATTTCCTTCTATTCTTTGCAAAGGCTCCAAAATATTTCCCTACCCTCTTTGGCTCTGTCAAGGGTAACGACTCTTCATTTTTTTACGGAGAATGAGGTGAAAGAGTTGTAGAGCAAGTATGTTCTCCATGACAACGTCACTCTTTGAAGTTGCAAGGGTTGGCTTGAGTGAAAGATTTCGTGGGCCGGGATCTGGTCTTTTATCGAGACCAGTTCAAATATGGCCTCTGGTTACCTTTGTGCAACAAGCTCCGAAGTGTTTTTAACTTGTACAAGGCCATCCCAGCACATGTAATACCAAACTCAGTGCCGCTGTAATAACCTTCATCCTTTGTTGTCATCGGGAGCGTACCTGTGTTAGATCGACTTTTTAAAATATTTTTTCTCATTTAAAGTTGATAAGAAGGGCTTTGCCATGTTATTGGAAAGCAAGGAACTCCACCTACTGGAAGTGGAGAACAAAATAAAAGATTCAAAAAAGAACTTTCTAGTAAGCCTTGCACTGGTGCCTGGGGGATCCGAACTGAGCCTTCAGAGCGGGAGGTGTACCGGCCGAAGTCTCTTCCAAAGAGTATGAAATTTTGCAAGGTGATGTTAAATGGTCTCCCCCTCTCTGTTCCACAATACATCGCTGACCAGAGGAAAATATGTTGAGATTTTCATACCAATTTTATACTGTTTTATATGATATTGCACTTTAAAGAAAGGTATTTTTGATGTTTTGTTGCAGGAATGATGAAATAGGGTCATTGGAGCAAAAAGATGCAAAAAGGAGCGAATTTTGGAGCGAAAATGGCCAAAATGTAAACAATTGAACTAGGGCGCCGACGACGTCATCGACCCCGCCGACGGCGAGATTTTCCCGAGACTCCAGAATTAATTCATTAAGAAGGTCCGCCGACGGTGCCC